GGGAGAAAACCATTGCTAGTTGATGCCTTCAGAATAATTTATGAAAAATGGATTGCTGTATGACACCATATCTTCCAGTTGTTGCACGGCATGTGCTTACAGCGTTAGTATGTAGCAAGTCCTATGTCTCCTTAAGATCTATGCAGCCACTTGGTTGATAAGGATTTAATATTTTTGCCCCTTCAAGATTAAACTTCGAGGTCTTTTGAAACAAGAAAACTACCCAGTGCTGGCACTGAAACATTCAGTCTTAAGAGGACCCAGAACACGCAGAGGGTGCACAGTGCAGTTCTCTAAAGGAAAACAGGGCTGGGTAATGGTCTGCAAACTGCATAAATGCATCAGGTACTTGCAGGAGAGTTTGCACAGTGATGCTGTTCATAATCTGTGATAACTTTTTCATGCATGGAATCTGTTCCTCTTCCTACTGAAGTTAGGCTTCAAATTTACTCATGAAAAGCATTAAAAAAAAAAACAAACCCAACCCCAAACTAACTGCAGCAAAATGTCTAAGCTGTAACATCATTAAAAATGCAACAGATCCAAGATTGGCGTAGAGTGTGTTTAACTTTCTACCGAAAATATTTTCGACCTTTAAAGCAGTTTCTGAATCGGCCCTATTGCTACAGAGCAAATGAAAGGCAAGCTTTCCCAGGAATCTAGGAGTTTCCAGTGTAAAGTAGGAGCATTGCTGTGATGTGTCCCAGTGTTAGTGCCTGAGCTTCTCGTGGAGAATAATATATTTGTCCATACACCATGCCATCAAGTGAGGCACTGGGACTTCAAGATAAATGGAGTGGGATTGTTTGCCCAAGCTAGCAGCACCCTTTCATCGGTGGGAAAATGGCTGAGACCTGAGACCGGTTGGGTCCTTATCCATGCCTTGTGGAGAGAGCCATGATCAGGATCCAGGCACACTTCCAGTAATAATTTTTGTCGCACTGTAAATACAAAGCCAGCTGTTTCCATTGTGATCTTATGCTTTTGCTGTCTGTTTTTTATCAGAGTTAGGATGCATGAGTATATGAGGAAATGAATAATAAAAAGCTTTTATTATTCAAAATATGAATTTAAATCTTGTCTCACTTTTCTTGAATGATCTAAGATGATTGAGACTCTTGTTTGGTTTGTCTGAATCCTTTACTGGTCCCCCAGTTGTTGTCTAACCATGCTGTGATAAGAACACCAAGACAGCCTGGATATCTGAATTCCCTTCCCTGGGCACTTCTGGCCTTGGTGTTCTCCTTGGAAGTTGTTGTTGAAAATAGTGGCACCACCTATTGGTGGAAAAGGAAAACTATGAATGATGTTTGTTTGCATACTAAGAATGAATAGTAAAATGGAGAAAAGCTTGAAATGAATTCCATATTGCAATTCAAGACTTTTTTTAAACAACCTAGTCCCTGTTTGATATGCTTGTGTAGAGCATGTCCTTGATTTAAAACAAACAAACAAAAAACCAAACCAAACAAACCCAAACAAAATAAAAAAAACCTTAACCTAGGCTTTCTAAAATAATAGTACAGAGCATATCTTCCTAGTTATTCTGACTGTCCAGGACTATCGCTTTTTTTGCTGTGTTCAAAAGAAAAAAAAAAAGTACCCACCCTTACAAAACCAGTTTACAAGAGGTTAAAGGTATTGGGACCTAAATTGTTTGCTCCTCAGTTGAAATAGCTGGAGCTAAGCTTTTTCTTTCTTTTCTTGTTCCCATTCTTTCATTTTAACAAATGTTATCACTCCTCTAAAATGAGCTATTTTACTGTGGCAGCCGCGTCAGTGCTTGGAAGACAGTCTACTGATGGCAGCAGTTTAAGCTGTAATGCCTTCAGCAGGAGGACTTGCATTAGTCTCAAGTGTTTTTGGCATGCCATGTGATGAATGGTTTCTGGTAGTTGGCTTTGGATGTGCTAGTCACTAATGTTTACGTTGGTAGACAGAATAAAAATTACTTAGTTGCTTATTGTGGGGCCTGTGTGATGACAGAGCTGGTCAAATTTTGAATTTGTTTAAAAAACCAAAGAATTTCTCCTTCTGCTCCCTGTGACCTACTAAAAAAGAAAAAAAAGTTTAGTAGCTCTGCTCTTCTTATCTGGGGGAGATAACTGATAGGTGAAGGGTGTTATTCGTTGGGACTAGGTATGGAAATGCCATGTTTCACTGAAGATGTGTTGCACTACTGTCTTTACTGCTGTCATGAATAGCTGAACAACTGGAATGGAGCACAGCAACAGCTGTGAAGCCTGAGGAAGGCTTTGTTGCAATATAGAGGTGTTCTTACTATAGCTTCTGTTCATAACCCAGCCCTCTATCCCACAAGTTGGAGAGTATCCTAAAGATGCTGTCTATGGATGTGCCCAGAATGTGTTAGGTGGTTTCCAGTGAATCCTCTGCTGAGGAGATCCCGTCCTGTGAGCAGATGGTGTAACCCTGCCGGAGAGAAGGAAGAGTTCAGAGCTGTGCATGTAAGACAAACCAGTTCACTGTCATGCAGCATAGCAGTCATAACTCCAAGAGGAAACTAGAGGTGACCAGGGAAGAAACCTTTCAGATGAGCTCAGGAAAGGTGTAAAATCTTGGAGGGTTGTTTGGAAAAAAGCTTGCCAGTAGTAAAGTAGTCTGACAGGGTTCAGATGAGATGAATAGTTCTAGTATTACGGTGCAGTTTGTGGACAGAATAATACTTGAGTAAAATGCATAATTGCAGGCAAAAAGTATTTGGCTTGAGGTTTTTTGGTGTCGAGTTTAACATGTGAGATGTCCAAATTCATAGCCATTGATTGAGTTGTCAACATTTATAACAACAGTTATAGCATTTAAACTTCTACTGAATGCATACTCGGATTGTTCTGCGCATTGAAAGTGTGTTGAGTTGCTTTCAGCTAGAAAAGCAAAAGGTGGAACATAAAATACTTGAAGCCAAAATAGTAGAAAATGCATATAGAATACTATGGCCCTTTTTAGCCTTTATTAGCACAGGCAATGGAAGGATGGTCAGTGGAAACGCTGATGTGATTAGACTGCTAGTGCTTGCAGGGTCACACCCAATGAAAAGCAAAGCATGAAGATAAATCTCATTATGTTTTGCCACTGTGTTACTACAGTTCAGCTCTTTGGCTAACAATAAAGTTAAGATTTCCCTCTTATTCCTGTACATCCTTTTCCTTAAATAAGCATAGATCAAAACTGCCTGTATGCTTCTGGCATCCTCATGTGAAAGGAGGCATGAGGGCTCACAAATAACTGAGTGCTGCTTCTGGGACTGGAATGTTTTTGCTTACTGTCTGTGTGGGTGGCAAAGTGTCCGTAAATGTTTTAGTACAGTCTAGGTCCCTCTTGGTTTCAGTACAAGATTTACCACTGATCTGTCAGTCCAGCAATGGCATGTAGGATTTAACATTCAAAAGTGAAAAATCCTTTTGGAAATACTCACTACTTGGCAATCCAAGGGCAAGTTGCTGCTAAATATGACTGAGTTGTGAGGTAGACAACTTTAAACAGAGATCAGCACTGGGAGAAGGTGCTGGGTGCTACCGGTAGACATCCTGTCAGTGTGATGTGATGGCTTTTCTCAGTTGTAAAGCTTTGCTGCAGTGAGTGGTGGAAGTTCCTCCTGTTGTGATCAATCATGTTTGTCTTACAAAGGGTATAATTACAAATTTTTGTCTTCTCACAATGTATTTCAAAGGCTAGTAGATGTTTTGTTTCGTTCCATGTTCTGTAGCTCAACTTTCTTTGTCTGTAAAATGCCCTTACACTTCAGCATTGTGGGCTGCTGCTCTCTTGTGTGTTAAAACAGTGAGGCACAGCTGAGCCAGCCAAGCCTGTGTTACAGTGGTGAGACAGCTGCTTTCGTTTGGTGTCCGTGGGTATAGGCCTCCCTGCCTTCGGCAACATCGCACACGAACATCGGTAGATAAGTGTGTGTGTTGTATGTGGCATACGAAATATTGAGAAGTAAAGGTTTTGGGGAAGGGATATGGCAGTGTCCATAACTGGCAAGGGAGCAAAATGTGGATAGCCACTGGAAATACTGTTGACACCCTTCAGCCCCTGTTTTAGTTGTGTGCTGCACACGAGTCATTACAGAAAAAAAAAATCTTTTCTGTTTCTAATGTACTAGAGAACTTAAATGATTCTTACGGGGAACTGTGTGTGTGTGTGTGCGCATGCAAGAGGTGGTGAGGTAGTCTCAAGTAGCAAACCCGGGCCTTAGTCACCATTGATTTATCTGTAAAAGATTCTAATGACCTAAAATAGCATTTCTGTAAATAGTGCTATATTTCAACTTTGTTCCATAACTATGTGTGTATGCTGTGACTTGCAGGGTTTCCAGATATCTTCCTTCTCAAATCCTACCGAGCTTTTTCTTCAAGCATTACAACAACGAGAAAAACACAAATATAAACTTTGAGGTCTTTGTTTAAAAAAAAAAAAAAAAAAAAAAGCGCCATTTGCTGGACAGGAGTTAATCTTCCCCACCCTGGGTTTCAGGCAGCAGTAGTTTGAACAGGAAGTGCTGTATTTAAGTGGAATATGACTGAAACATTTTAGTGAGAAATGTATTTTTTTGTTTGCTGCTCAGAGATCTAGAACAGTGGGTAGAAAGAGAGTAAACAAAGGGCACAAAAGATAGTCAAAAGTGCAAGCTAAATATACTTACGGTGCACTTCGCCATGAGTGAAAATGTGTCTGCCTGGATCCACAAACTAATATCAGTGGAGGATTTGGTCAAAACACCCGATTTTTTGAAAATTTCTAAGGAATTTGAGATCATAAGGAATGATCACAATGCGAAGTGTCATTGCTATTTGTTAATTATAGGCCTAACTTCTGTTAAGAGTTGATGAGGCTTCCCCCCACCACCAAATTTCAACATCACCCAGATCACGGATGCAGTACCTGTTTGATGCCATCACTCTACCTTTTCCTTGTAAACAACCACTTAACATGTAATGGCTTGAAAATACTCATGATTTATTTGTTTGTTTTCTTCACAGGCTGGAATGGTGTTAAGATGTGGATACTTCTGGTTTGGCTTGTTTCTCGTGCCCACTGCGTGCCTTGTTAAAGACGTGGCATGGACAGCGTAAGTTCCAAACCAGTCCTCTCGGTGTTATAGGAACTGTTCTGTATGCACATGTTGTCCAGTCCAGTATTGTTCTGTAAAGAACTACGAAGCCTTTCAGTGAATGCAAAATGGTGATATATGTTTGGAAGACCTCTGAGCAAAGTGAAGTGGGAGTCATTTCTCACCTGCCAATGCAACCAGCAATGTGAAAGAATGAATAGTTAGTCATGAATCTGAAGGAGTAAGCCTTGTCTGAGTAATGATGGTGTGTTGTCTTATGATTATTTGGGTTGTCTATCCTCTAGTTAAAGGCAAATTTAAATCAGACATCATCCTATTCCTAAAAAGGAGCAAATAAGTTGTTCAATTTGACTAAGTGTAGGTAGAAAGTAAAAATGTGGCACTCCAATCCATACCCAGTAAGCTCCCAGTTCTTTGTCAGCTGCTCTTTAGGTTCTCCTTCAACAGTGGGTCTTCCAAGACTTAACTGAGAGAACAGCAGTACTCTGCACTCTGTGGTTGAAGTGAAGTCTTACTCCTTCCCTGCCCAGAGAGGAGGAACAACCCTTGTGAAATACAAGCCTGTGTAATCCCCTTTTCTCAAAACTCTGGGGTTTGAAAGCATTGCAGAAGGCAAGCAATTTCAAGAACTTTGACTTAAATAGAAGCAACTTATCTTCTCTACCACTGCAATTTGAAATGCAGATGTACCATTTTCATTTAGAATTTCTGGTGTTTTGTTCAGCTTGCTTTTAAGTGTCTTAAGCACCAAAGCTTTCATCCTTTCCCTTGGAAAGCTGCGTTACAACCAAAGTTTTATTACATGGATATGTAATAACCTTGTGCAAGGCCCAGAGCATTCCAACTCTGGGGCAAAAAGGCACATCCTAGCTGGAGTGAAGAGGAAATATAGGTTAGCTTGTCACAAAGGCTCGAAGTGAAAGCATCGTAACACGTAACACTTTGCTCCAGGAGTGAGCTGTCCGTCAGCCAAGGAAGATTTTTAGAATCATACAATTATTCAGGTTGGAAAAGACCTTTAAGATCATTGAGTCCAACTGTAAACCTAACACTACCAAGTCCACCAATCTTCTTTTCAGTATTTTCTGCGTTTCTCTGTAAAGAGCAGAAAGTTTCCCAAACACAAGCACATTTCAAACACCAGCATAAAAGGATAAATCAGATCATACGCATATATCCGAAAATCTTGTTTTCTTCCTATGGAGTTGATAGCACGGCTAAATTAAACTGGTAGTAGGCAAATCTGCCAATCAGTAAGTACTTCTTAAATGTTTTCCTATTTTCTTCCTCAGCGTAATCTTCACGTGCTACACTGCTAAAATTATAACTAGGTATCATAATGTAAATTTTTTGTTCAGGCCAAACTATGATTTAATGGTCTAGCACACTAGAGGGTTTTTTGTTACACTCATTAAACTTCTCCAATTGAAAATTACTTTAAAATTCTAAAGCTGAGGCCAAAATGTTTAAATTTAGATACTTAGCTGTGTCTATGACCTGCTTTTTAAAGCTCTGAAAAAAATCTTAGAATTCATTTAGCATAACAGGCCCTGCTCCTGTGTCAGGCATTATTTAAAATTACCTGCTTAGAAGTCAGTGAGCTGAACTGTTGGCAGCATCAGGGATTAAATACATATTTAGGTGTCCAAGATTACACTTTAGTATTTTGAAATGTTTTCATGATAGTTGAGTGTCCTGAAGTTGTCCTCTGTTCTTACCAGTTCTTGGCAAAAATGACTCAAGAATTGTAAAACAGGCCAGACCAAGGCAGGCTCATCCTCAGCTATTACTCGTTTAAAACACTGTTACTGACTCAACCTGTTCTTCAGTATTTCTTAGAGAAATCTCAGCAACATAATCCTTTCAGTGGTTCAGGCCAAGAATGTACGGAGATTGTGAAGCCCTCAAGACAAACGTGTATGATTGATATACTGGATATTTTCCCAACAGATTTTAAACAGGAGGGTCCTACCAACTTTAAGGAAAAAAATCTGTTCTCCGAGCAGGACTGCTTTTTTTTTTTTTAACCCATCACTGAAAAATTAACACCATTAACATTTTAACTAGGATAAATGAAATGACACAGCTATCAGCACTGCCATATGGAAGGAGTAAAGGTCTGTTTCCTTTCCAAGAGGCTTGCCATTCAAAACTTGAGCCCAAGGCCTCTGGAAATCAGCCGGCAGATTTCTACAGCAGTGGTTACACCACATTGCTCTCTGTAATTCAGCAGAATCTGGTTTTGGTCACAAAATTCCAGCAGCTCTGACTTCTCATGGTCATGGAATTTATCCCTTTCAGTTTCTTTTGGACATGAAGCATATGTCCGCAGAAAGAACATCCATGTGACCCAAAAGGTACATACCTAATTTCAGTACAAAATACTGCCAGAAAACCATAAATACAGTACAGAGTTTTTGTGTGGAAGAAGGTTAAAAGGGATAGGAAAGTGTGTTTCAATCCCATACAAATCTTTGTTTCTAAACTGCTGTGCTGCATCCACTATCAAAACATGTAATGCTGGAAGCAAGAGCTAGTTTTACATGTTCCCTTTGTTACACAGGCTACAGTTGTCAACACACCTCTTATCTCCCATGTTCTCTGCAGCTCCAGGCTTTTTTATTTACATTTTTTTTCTTTTTAAGTGAATCAAGGAAATGTGGATAACTCTTTAAAAAGAGAAGGAAGTTCATTATTAATACTTGGCTGCAATACCACATTGTTGTTTCTAAACTGCTGTGCTGCATCCACTATCAAAACATGTAATGCTGGAAGCAAGAGCTAGTTTTACATGTTCCCTTTGTTACACAGGCTACAGTTGTCAACACACCTCTTATCTCCCATGTTCTCTGCAGCTCCAGGCTTTTTTATTTACATTTTTTTTCTTTTTTTAAGTGAATAGGAAATGTGGATAACTCTTTAAAAAGAGAAGGAAGTTCATTATTAATACTTGGCTGCAATACCACATTGTTAACTTTGGTCCACTACCCTGAATTCAGTGGCTTGGTTTTGATTTGGTTTTTGCCTTATTAAAGTCCCAGTTGTGCTACCATTGAAATGAACAGAGCTTTATAAAGTGAGTGCTTCCTCGCAGTTGGCACATGTCACTTGAATACATGTCACTGGTGCTAGGAAGTCTCAAAATAGCTGAGCTATAAAGCTATGTGGGAATCATAAAAACACAGAGTGTATTCCAGCAAAATTAGGCAAGAGGGCAAGAATTTATTAATAATTGGTGTCTCAATACTTAGTGTTACAGTGAAAAATTTCCTGAGCCTTCCAATCATTACCAAAATCTTCATGTACTTTTTTTACCACGGAGGGAGAAGCATGTTGTACTTGCCAGTTCTCCAGTGTAAATAGAGAAGGTATGAGGAGCTCTTCCCATCCTTGCACACGCTGGCAGTCCCTGGAGCACAAGACTCCTAAAATGGTCTTGAGGATAATGAGCCAGAGTAGAGGTGTCGTCATGTTTGAGAACAATTTACGAATGTAACCATGCTTCTCCCTGGCAGATTCTGGCCTCCCGAACCCCCTAAATATCCTCCTAGGGCAGTGAAGTGAAGCTATGCCCTTCCCTGGCTTGGAAGGGGAGGGGCCACCCAAAATACAAAGATAACCCTTTGCCTGTTCTTATGGTCCATGATCTTAATATCCCAGTGTGTGAGGGAAAGGTGAGTTTGTCTTTATGTAACGTATCAAATTTCAGCTGAACAGTAACATGAAACACAAGATCTCATAATCTGTTGAGGACTTATTGTGCATCTAGGGCTGCCTGTAAAGTACAAGGTAAAAGCTAAGACTTCTGCCTGTATTTTTGTGTATCAAAAGTTAATAATGTGCTGTTGTGAAAAAGTCATGAAGCACCCAGTCCTGTTGCCAGCAGTCCATGGAATATTTGCAGTTGACTTTGATAGGAGCAAGCCCAGACTCTGAGGCAATTGTAATACCATATTTTAGTATTTGTTTTTGGAGAACCACGTGGATAGGTTAACTCAGGCCCTTTTTATAAATACTTAATTACTGACTCTTTCATGGGTGCTCTTGCTTCCAAGTGAAGGAGTGACTCAATGCATAACAATTACCTGTGGGTTTATTGTTGCTTTATGGATACCCAGCCACAGCAGAGCCTATGTATTTCATCACTTCACACTACTTACAAAATACTTCAGTACCCCCAACTTCAGGACAACAGTATTTTTTCCGTATTGTGAAATATCAGTGCAATGCCTGCTTGTGCTGTGCTGCACTAATTGGACTTCGTTGCTCAGGCTCCATTCTGTTAAATTTTGAATTCAGTATTCACTCAAAGGGAAAAGAAAAACATCTCTCATCTCTTATGGTGTATGGCAAGATAAACATGGAAACTTGGGAGAGATTGAATAACTTGAAGATTTCTGTGTTCTTGTCTGTGGGAAAACTGGTTATAAAGGATCTTAAAAGTTCCAAACATGCTCAATCTTCAAGTTTGCAATAGTAGGTACAGCCTCTTTAAAAGGTAAGAGATGAGTTCAAGGTCAAAATTTCATTGTATTTACTCAAATTAAAAGTGTGATAGTGAAGTCATCTGTAAGATTATAAGAATTAATAGCTCAAAGCTTTCTCATTTTAATCGCTATAGTTTCTCTTCCTCAAAGAGGAGACCAGTCTAATCATTAGCCTAACTAGTTATAGGAACTTGAATCTAATTAATTTCTGTGCAGCTATTGGTAATCTCACAGTCTTGAAACATTATGCGTTTTAAAAATATCCTTGCTACTGATTTCTTCTGTCACAGTATGTTGGTGTTCCCTTGCAAATCATACACCTTTGGTGGTTGGTTTTAATAGGGTGCTTGTCAAAGTACATCCTGGTACTCTTTACCTCCAGATTTTGCTATGCTTCATCTTTTGCTGTTCTCTTTTTTTTCCTCTTAAATGCAGATGTGTTTTGAAAAGTAGTTTTCATTTTAACTTCTCATTTTGAGACATTTGGAGCCTAATTCAGCAACACAAAGACCAGAAGACTTGGATAACCTAGTATTAATATCAAGGTGCTGTCATCTAAAATAGTATCAGCAAAGATTCTGTGGTCTTTGTTTCTTATTCCCCATGGAAGGAGTAATAAGAATCATACTTCTCAAAAATAAATGCATCTTCATTATCTTTTAATTACATATACACCAGTTGTTATTTTTCTGCTAGAGGGAGTTTGACATTGTTTTACATCATTGGTTAAAGATTATAGCATCTGCATGTAAGACTTTTATAAAACTTGTAAAGAAATTTTTGCCGTCTCTAGAGTTGAATACTATTTTAACTCCATGAAGCAAGTGGTGTCTCAGCTGACTTGGCTCCATCTTGTTTTCAGGCATATCTTGCAGTCACATGCAAATCAATATTATCTCATGGGACTCTTGTCCTCCTTTAAGTGACACAAAAGAGGAAGCTGATCAGAAACTGCCTGCTGGAGAAAGATCCTTGTGTTTTGTATTATTGCTTTGTACATGTCAAGACAGAGGGGACTAGATTCTCTCCTTGTATCAATGTTGTTTAGGTATAATAACACAGGAGCAGTAGGTGAAATTGGGGAAAAAAAGGCCCAAGTCTCTACATGGGGGACATTGCTCTCCAAATTTTGGTTGCACTTGTGGTACATGGATTGCTCTTTGAATCCCCAAGCCGAGAAAATAGACCGCAGCCAGTCTTGTTACTGTCACTTTGAAAGCTCAGTGGGGAGAGAAGTGCCTTTCCAAGACATGTGAGACTGATAAGTGAAAATAAAGGGGCTTGAATGGCAATTATTATCTGAGACTCTCCTCAGTTTTTCAGAGCAGTGCCACGCATAGCTCAAAAGAGAGTCGAATCATGTTTTACTGTCATGAATATTCAATGAATCCCAGCTCTTTTGTCTGAATGCCTGGGTCCTGAGCAGTCCCACGGCAGCGGTGTCAGGTCTCCATAGCTCTGTAAGCTTTGGTTAGATTTTGAGTGTTGTGTTGAAGCAGCTGAGCTCTGCTGAATTTGAAGTCCTGATTTCTCATTTTTTACATAATACTTTGCAGGTATTGTGAACCTGGATTGACATCCATCCACTGTGCCTTATTTCCCAAATCATTCAAGGGAAAGCCCTGCGCCTCTCATCTGAGAGGTAAAATTGGGGCTTTGTTGCAAAACAAATATTCATGTGGCTTTTTTGTTTGTTTGTTTTTCTGTTTGTCTTTTCCTTGTGGTACAGGGCCAAGCATACCTACCATAAAACTTTGCTGGAGCAAGTTCAGGAGTTGGAGACGAAGACAAGAGAGCTGGGAAAAGCCATGCTTCGTGATAGTAATGGAAAGAGGTGGGGCAAGCCTATGCTAATGTTTAAAACAGACCCTTCTTTTCCTCTCCCCTCCCTATTTCTCATTCACGATTCAAATCTGATTCCAGACAGAGTAAGAAGGCTTCTCTCCTGTATTATTAATTTATTGCTGTTCCTTTTCATATGTCTGTTGCCCCCACTGAAATCAGCCCTTCCAGTTCCACTTCTGCATTATTGCTGTGAGGCTGTATTAGAAACTGCTGCTCAGTCTCCTGCCTGGTAACATGTAGTGCTATTACCTGGCCACTGGGCCAGACTGTTTTTGAAAGGACTTTGTTGTATGTCATTTAAAAAATAAAAAAAAATCTGATAACCATGTTGGGGAGAGAACTGTCTGCAACTCAGGATATGAAAACAGTTAGACTGTAGCTAAAAGGAGAACTGACTAATGCAGTGTGCCCTACAACTTCATTCTCACCTAAGGGTGGTTTTATGCTGTTGCTTTTTTTCCACTGCAGCTTACAGGCCCATGCTTTCAGGGTTCTCAGTTTCTCGTTGTGCCTCTCCCTTATATCCACACCATATGGACTTGAACATATTGCTATTATTGAATCTTTCATTGTAAAGGGAGAGTATGTGTTGTGTGGGAACTTTTGTCTCTTCTGAAAGGAGCTAAAGAAAATCATAGTGAGGCTTTTGCATCCAACAGTTTCATTTACCATCTCAGAATGTGGTTCTGCATCAGCTGGTCGGAAAAGCTCCCCAAGTTCAAAAAGGTTTTAGAACTAACTCTTCTGTTCTTACACAATATGGCACCACATGACTTGCTAAGAAACTACATGATCATTAAACTGGATTTTAGCAAACCTTATAAACTAGCAAACTGAGTGGAATGGGGCTTTTAAAAGATTTTGTTCTTCTGGGGCAGGGTCATTCTTTGAGCCTTTGATGTCTATTCTAAGGTAAGCTAATTGCCATATTGTAGCTGCTGCTAAGACGAGCGGATAGTAGATTTTTCAACTGAACTTGTGAGTTAATAAGCACTATTTTTAGGGAAAATTATCAGGGAGTGAGTCTACCAAGATTATAGTAAACTGAAAAGCTTTAAAAAATGTTTGTGTGAACTTTAATGTGTTTATAAGATGTCCTTAGTGACCAGAGTTCGCTTCTCAGAGGCCAAGACAAAGTAAACACAGTGTTATTGATTAAGATCACTTCAAAACACTTGGTATGCTCATTTTTTATTTTGAGTCGTTTTTCTGCCGTGACTTTTGGATCCTACAAAACACAGTTTATAAATTGTGCTCACTTGCAAAAGTCACAAACTGCACATCAAACCATTTAAAAAGAAAACGCAAACTTTGCAGCACTGGCAACAAAGGCAACCTTCTATGTCACAGTTAAAACCAACAAAGATGCCTGAAATCAGGCATTTAATTAAAAATGGGCCTTCTTTTTAGAGAGCTGAGCAGACACTTTGAAGTCAGTTGGAGCCAAAGCGCTTGGTACCAAAATCAGGTCAGCGTCCCAGGCAAGAAAGGTGTAACTTGGTGTTGTGAGGTGCTGACTGATAGACTGATTAGATGCCAGGCAAGTGTAATCCAGGCCAGCAGAAAACTGGCTGTTCCCAGGCACGCGGCTCTGGTAGTATGAGCCCCTTGGCTGTTGCTGTGGTTCTTATCCATGCATAGGGTGTAAAGTTGCATTGGTGTTGGTTTGTAGCATTTGTGTTTTCCTGCCGGTATTTAGTGCCAGTTATCAACAGCCAGAGAGGAGAGTGAGTCAGCTTTTTGCCTGATGAATCTCTGGGTTGCAAGGCGGGTTGACATACTGTTAATAGTGAGAGAGACAGTTAGCATTTGATCTGTTTATGTGTGTGTGTGTGTGTCTCCAAGAACTTGATGGGTTTCTTCTCTGTTTACACACTGTCCTGACTTTCTGTACATTTAATGGCCATGTTGTAATTCATTCATATGCTACATGTTTTCATAGCCTTTTATTTTATTGCATTCTCACTGCAAACTCTTTCATCTGTATTCCTCCTCCATATAGCTTCACTTCATTCTCGAAACGCTTGCGTGGAGATGATGTAAGGAATCCCTTCTGGCCCTCCTTCCCATTCTCCCTCCCCCCTTCTTTCCATGCATTTGTTTGTTCTCCTTCCTAATTGCTCCCAGATTTTCTGGGTGGTCCATCTGTGAACTAGATAATGGTAGAGTGCCTCTGCCTGCTAGGAGCTAGTGTGCTGTGCCTGTGATGTGGCCTCCTGAGTGCTCTTCAGAGTTGTTCTGTCTTTTATCTCTTTTGTTTGTCTCCTGGCTCTTTCACACCTGTGCTTGTCCAAAGGGAAGGGTGAGGGTGGGAAAGAAGCAGAGTGGGAACTTTCTGCAGTTACAGCCTCTCTGGTTCATGTTCTTTATTTTTTAAAAATGTCCTTGAAGCCAGTGGAAACAAGTGCTGAGACACATGTGCTGCTCTCCCCTCCTGCCCACAGCTCCATTGCTCTTGGGATATTTCTGGCAATGTGACACTATGCAGGAAGGGGGGAGGTAACCGGAGTCTCCTCACTTCTAATGGAAAGTGGAGAGCTGCGTTAAAACTGCATGGGTCCGTCCGTCACCTCCAAGTAACAGTGTTAGCTCTTGGTTGGAAGTGTTCCTGAAAACTTATCCATTAGGAGTTGGTTTGTTCAGGCAGCTGTGGAAGATAAGCTGGCTGTCATCAGGGTCTATTTTCCTGGCCCACATAGTGGACGCTATTTTTGTTCAGTGTTTTTCACAAACAAACAACAAAAAATCACACCCAATTACAGATAAGAGGAGGATTTAGGGAGCTAATTGCTTTTATCCTTGCCTAGACCTTAGACAAAAAATGAGGTGCAAGATCTGAATGTTTAGGATTAATTTGCTAAACAAAAAGCAACTCACAAAGCCCAGAAAGCAGCGAGTGCATCTAGACTTGCACAACAGGGTGCCAACAGTTTGCTGTGGTTCAGCCCAGTTTCTGTAAAATGTGAGCAGGATTGTACCTGGGTCCTCGCTGCACTAGGGGAAGGAGTGCTGGGAGATCTGCATGTGCCACTTGATACCTAAATACGCATATCCTGTCTTAGAAGGTGTTCATCCTGCCAACTGTTCTTGCTAGACACATTTTTCCAAGTTAATAAAAAATGTCTTCGCTAGTGCTTGTTACATCCTTCTGAACTTAGCCCCTTTGAACAGTTTCTAAAATTGAATTTGCTTGTATCAATCTAAAAAAGCAGGTGCAAATTTTTGCCTTACCAGTGGCAGGGAGCAAACAGCAAGGCAAGTGGTAGATCAGGGAGTGTCTGGTCTGTGCAGGGAAGAGTGTCAGCACCCTGAGCACTACAGCTGGGTCCCAAAAACTTTGCAAATAACATTAGAGTGATATGCTTGGAGATTATATCAAGTGTATTGTTTTGAGCTGTAAAGGGTCATGTTCTCATTTCTCTGTATATCTCATTTGGACAGCTAAAAACTTATTTTTTGTGGAAGCTGGGATGATCGCAATATCAGATGATTCCAGGAGCAGGAGATTTCATCAGGGGAAACAAGTATCTGGAAAACTGGCAACTCCAGAAATAGCTTGAGAAGCAGAGGAGGGAGTGTGCAGTAAGGGGCTAGTGATGGATCCCATGCCATGCTCGCCTGCCTGCTTGTGGAAGATGAGTACCTGTGCTTGCCCTCCCCAGCCTGGCACCCAGCAGTGCTGGGCTGGACTCCAGCCCAGCTGCGATGCGAGCAAGCCTTGGTGCGGGAAGGGAGAGGGGCTCCCTGGCACTCTCATGTAACAAAGGGCAGGATTTAACACTAAGTTTACATGAATTTGGAGAGGTGAGAAGGGCAGCTCCTGTGCCAAAGCAAACATGGACATGTGGAGACACCTGCCCAGCAGACCTAATCACATTAACATGCAAGATTTACAGAAAGAAAACAAACAGTTTTTCTACAGGTTTGTGTTCAAAAGCGGCATTCAGTTCAGCTGCAGAGATTTTTCTGTCTTTAAATAAGTTTACAACTAAGTCTTGGTTCATAAAGGGCCAAATCTTCAAGTCCTCATTCACTTTTCACTCTATCTAACCTCTCATTGAAGTCAGCAGGAGTTCAGGTGGAGTAAAGCCTGATTAGGGACCAAAGCAAACTTTACTTTGGAAACCCATGTCACTTTATTGCTCCGCTGGCCAACTAATGGAGAGCAAGCAAAGCTGTGCAGCACCCTCTTTGCGACAGTAGATTTCCTGTTTCAGAGGGTTTCTCTGTCTTGGAATTGCCAGAGAGCTCCCTTTTGAAAGTAGCTTTTCGGTTGTTTTTCTGTTCTGTTTTTAACAGGTTGGTGGCTGGGATTAGAAGATTATTTGATACTGAAGAGCAATGTAGCTTTCACAATTTACATTCTTTACAAGGAGCTGAAGGGCCTGTCTGGAGTGCTGCAGAAAAGTGCCTGCATCACTGAAATACTGGATTTCTTCAAATTATTCCGAAATCTGGGAGGCAGTGTCTTTTCTTTAACAAAGAGAAGGGAAGTGACTACAGAACTAGTGAGGTATAGCTGCGAGCGACAAGGAAGCACTTGCAGTGTGCTTTTTACACAACATTTTTCAGTATGCCTTTTTACTCCTGCTGCGTTCAGATGCCTGCTGCCACCTCTTTCTTTCATCTCCATTTCATAAAACAAATACTGTTTTTCAGTGTACCTAAAACAGAGTGGGGAGACTGTGGGGAACTGCTGTCTTCAACAAGGAGACCCGCTGGTGGAGATTCTCTTTCATTTAAATGCTTTTCACCAGTCTAACTTTGTTGCTTTAGTGAAACACACGTGACCACCTCTCACCCTGAGAGTGAGCCATCTTATTTATCTTAGCCTCGGTTTTATTTGGTGGGTGAGGGCAGATGTCTATCTCATTTCAATAGCTGTGTGAACCGGTGGGTAATTGGTGAGCTGACACAGGTATGCGTGGAGACTTGCCCACTCCACAGGTCCCTGGGGAGGAGCAAGAGGAGAACGTGGGAAACCTGACT